TTCCTTCCTTCCTTCCTTCCTTCCTTCCTTCCTTCCTTCCTTCCTTCGTGACTTCTTATTTTCCATTCAGAATTACTAAGGATATTGTCATGTGTATACTGTGTAGTCTGTCTTTATTCATACCTGTTGCTTTCATTTCCAAGTAAAGTAAAATTTGGGAACTGAGTGCGTCTGATCTGGTGAGCTGTGATTGCAGTTTGAGCACTAGCCTTTTCGTATCCAAGAACAATGTGTTTTATTGCTGCTGTTTATATAAAGTCCTCAGTGAAGAGTGAGCTGGGAGCTAGGGTAGCTCTCAGAAATGGCCTCTGTAGTGTCACTGGTTCAAAACCTGCCTGGTGTGGATTACATGATGATGATGCCCTACCAGTTTGTGCCAGTGGTTCCACCACCGCTCTGGGAATGGCGAGAGTTCCCCTGAAATGCACAGTCTCCCTCCTGTGGGAAGAGCTCTTTCCTTTGATGTGGACTTAGCAGTTGAAACTTGCTTCCCTTGTTCCTCTGTGTCTGTGTGGACCCAGCAGTGAGCTTAACTTCCTTTGCTCGCCCCTCAATCTTTGTTGACCTATCTCCATGTGTAGCATTTTGTAAAATCAGTTTAAAACCGTTTATTGCAAGAAATTAGGAAATATGTTTGAAAGATGAAAAGTCTTTTGAAGCTAATTTTCTTAACTTTGTGAAATATGAATAATATCAAAAATGTAGTCACTGTTCACCATGTCCTGATGTGAGGGTGACTGTGTTCATCTCTGTGTTGTTATTAGAGTTTGGACATGTAATAAGTGCATTTCTGAAGCTCTCTGGTCATCTCCATGGGCAGTCGCTGGGGAGCATGGCCCAGGCCCATTGAATGATGAGGGTTTCAAAATGCTCTTGTCCTTTGCTGTTGCTTTTGACTAAAGAAAATAGGGGAACTTCCCTTACCAATTATAAAGAAAATTGAGAATTTACTTTGATCCATGCCTCCATCCTGTTTTAACCTATTTGTTGAATCCTTATCATCCGTCCTAAAGTATATGAACTGTCATTTTCATAAAACCCAGTTGAAACAATGAGTTCCCACCTGTCTTGCTGGCTTTCTCGTTTTTATTTAGAAGTTAAACATTGATACTTTTCTGTAGTGGCAGCCACTATGCTTTCCTGATGGTGAAATTGTCCAGTTGAGCTGTCAGAAGTGCCAGTGAGTCTCTCCAGACAGCTCAGTGCTCTGATAGCTTCCTTACTCTTTATGTGAGAAGATAATTGCAGGCTTGTTTGGTTCATTTCATGTCTCAGACCCAGAGTCAGCCTTTTTCCCCAAGCAGACCTTGTTCTCATTAGTGGAGATGTTTCCTGGTCATATGTTTGGGCTGGGGACCTTCTGCCTTAGTGTGGCTGGAGCAGTTATGGGATACAACTATGTATAGTATTTATTCTGCACATTGTGTTCTATAACTTCTGCACTAATTATTTTCTTTATGTGTCCTTTAGCTTGATAACTATGGACAACAAGAACTTGGGGATCTTTTTGTGAACTATAATGTAAAGTCTCCCACAACTGGCAATGACCTGTCTCCTCCGGTACCTTTTAATTTAATGTTCAAGACCTTCATTGGGCCTGGAGGAAATATGCCTGGGTATGTATTGCTTTTATTTATGTGTTTATCTAACACATTTATTGAAATTGCCTGTACCAAAAGGCAAAACTTGGTGCCAAGGAGAAAGGCTGTATTTTCATAAGCTAAAGCATAGTGAGGTTTTTGTGTTTGTTATTAAATAAGTACAGAAGCCCATGATCGTCATATCTTCCAGTAAAGAACTGCATAGGACAGGAGGGCCAGAGAGAGAGATGATTTTTTTTTTTTTTTAATGGTGCATCCTGTACCACACTGTCCTGGTCATGTATGGCTTTTTAGCACTTGAAATGAAGCCAGTACTTCTGAGGATTGACTTTCCACATTTATTTCACGTTCACTAAATTTAAGTAGATATATCTAATAGCTTACCATGCTGGAGAGTGTTGACCTTGCCCACATTCTTGAAAGATAGCTTTTATACCTGAAGCAAAGCTGGTGACAGTACAGAGCCCTAACGTGGGACAGACTTTCTTACTCTCCTGTTCGTTCCTGGTGATTTAAGAAAATAGTTCTTTTCATCAATCAATCTTCTTTCCTTCCTTTTTTCTTTCTGCATTTATTAATTTATTCGGGGAGTAGGGGTACATGTTCCACAGCACGGGAATGTTTGTCAGAACAACTCGTAGGAGTTAACTGTTTCCACCATGTGGACAGTGACTGAACTCAGGCTCAGAGTTGTGGAGCTGGCACACCTCTCAGTGAGCCACCTTCAAGCTATGTCACCTTGACACAGGCTAGAGTTTTCTGCAAAGAGGGAACCTCAGTTGAGAAAGTGCCTTTATGAGATCTGGCTGTAGGCATTTTCTTTATTAATGATCAATGGAGGAGGGCCCAGCCCACTGGACTGGTGGTCCTGGGTTCTATAAGAAAGCAGGCTGAGCAAACCATGATGTGCAAGCCAATAAAGAGCATACCTCCGTGGCCTTTGCCTCAACTCTTGCCTCTAGGTTCCTGTTTGAGTTCCTGTCCCGACATTCTTCAGTGATGACCAGTGCTGTGGAAGTGTGAGCCAGATAAACTCTTTCCTCCCCAACTTGCTTTGGTCATCCTGTTTCATTCTAGCAATGGAAACCATAACTAGGACACAGGCTGTTTAAGGAAATAATTTAAAGGGAAAGGAAACACACTTAGTGTGGTAGTTAAAAGTAGAAATAACCAGTGCTAGAGAGACAGCTCAGCGGTTTAAGAGCTCTGGCTGCTTTTCCAGAGAACCTGGGTTCATTCCCAGCCCTCACACGGCAGCTAACAGCTCTCTATAACTCTCAGATCCAACACCTTCACACAGACATACATAAGGCAAAACAGCAATAAAATAAAATAAATAAATGAATAAATAAATAATTTTTTAAAGTAGAAATAATCTATTTGCCCATTGACTTGGGAGAGGTTAAACTGATTATAGTGAAGTTGATCATTTCAGTCTGACATGGCTATTTCACTTACCCTGAGAGCATTTGGTCATTTAATAGTAGGAAAGTATAAAGTCAGTACAGGAAGTGGCATAATTTTACACACATTTCTTAAATACAACATGTAGCTGTACTTATGTTTGGATGAACCTGGAAAGGGGCATAAAAATAAGTAGTTGGTTTGTTAGAATGGGAGATGGTGAAGTTTAGGGTTTCTTTCTTTGGGTTTTAAACTTGTCTTAGTATTTTAAAGAAGACCTTCGAGGACACTTATTTAAGTGAATGTTTTACGCAGAGTCTTTTCTGTGAAATTGGAGAGAAGACAGTGGCTATAATACTGCTGTGTTTTGAATGAGAATGCCTCCATAGCCTTATTTTATTGATTTATTTATTTTATTGAAAATAGCTTCTTCTTTCATCCAATACATCCCTACCACAGTCTCCCCTCCCTTACACCTCCTCGCTTCCCTCCACCTTCCGTCTCCCCCAAACCCACTCCCTCCTCCATTCCCTTTTCAGAAGAGAGCAGGCTTCCAAGAGAGGACCGCCAGACAGGACCAAACAAGCTAGAATAAGACAAGGTGGAAGCCATCATACCAAGACTGGACAAGGCAGCCCAGTGCGAAGAAAAGACTGAAAGAGCAGGCAGAGGAGTCAGAGAGACACTCACTCCCACTGTTAGGAGTCCCACAAAAACACCAACTTAACAGCCATAACACACACAGAGAACCTGGTGCAGACCCACGCAGGACTCATCTTGTTTTCTCAGTCTCTGTGAGCCCATGTGAACTCCGCTTAGTTGTCTCTGTGGGCCGTGTTTTCCTGGTGTCTTCCGTCCTCCAAGATAGACTTACGTATTTGCATACTTAGTCCTCAGTTGATGAACTGTTTGAAAGGATTAAGGGGTGTGCCCTTGTAGGTATAGCTGTGTCCTTGTTGGAGGAGGCATGTTGCTTGGGGTGGAACTTGAGGTTTCAAGAGCCCATACCAGGCTCAGTGTGTCTTTCACTCTGCCTCCCACCTGTGCATCAGGATGTAGAGCTCTCAGCACCATGCTGGATCCTGATGGTTAGGAACTTAACCATTTGAAACTATAAGCAAGCCCCCAATTAAGTGCTTTTCTCTTATGAATTGCCTTGATCATAGCTCTAGAACAGTGACTAGGACAACTGTATTCGAGAAATACAAAACTATCTGGTTGAAAATACAATGGAAAGAATACAAAGATATGAGAAATTGACCTGACTCGGTTAATGACTGAGCACTGACTGTGCTTAAAGAGACCTGGGTTTGGTTCCCAGCACCCTTAAGGCAGCTCACAGCTATCTCTAATTCAAGTTCCAGGGAACTGGATGCCCTTTTCTGTCTCTGTAGGAACTGCATATATGTGGTGCACATACATACAGGTAAAACATTTATACACATAAAATTAATCTTTGAAAAAAAAGAAGGAAAGAGGAGTGATGTATTTAGCCATGAGGGAAGTAAAGTATCTTAAGGAAGTCAGAGGCAGGGAAAATAAAAGGAAGAGTAATGGCATACATGTGATAAGAAGGTAGAGGGGGAGCTGAGTGGGTCTGGTGAGGGAACCATCAAGAGTGGGTTAAGGAAGGGGAATAGGGGAAGAGCAGTGGGAGAAGGGGATAAATACAAACGTGAAATATCATTTATGTATGAAGATGCCACAATGAAATCCATTATTTTGTATGCCTGACTTCAAAAAGGAATTTTAAAATGAGTATGCGTAGGCATGTAAATGATTGTTCCAGAGGGGCCTTATGGGCTGCACTGGTTACTTTTTTATTGCTGTAAGAAGAGACCATGAGCAAGGCAACATTTTTTTTTAACTAAAAATTTTTTTTCACCACTATACTAACGAGGAAAGATTTTTTTCTTTCATACCATATATTTTGATTGTGTTTTTCCCTTCCCCTAACTCCTCCCAGATCATCCCTACTTATCTTCCGGTCTAACTTCCTGTTCTTACTCTTTGAAAACAACAGAATTCAAAACAAATGAGAGCCCAATACGACAGAAAACAACTCCCCCCTCCAGCAGACACAGACACACAGGTCATGGAGTTTATTTGTACTGGCCAACTACTCCTGGGCTCAGGACCTGCTCTGGAGTGTGGTTGATACTTCCAGGAATATTCCTTTACAAAGAACTACTTTTCCCTTTCCCTGTAGGTATCAGTTGCATATAGCTTCTTGGTTAGGTATGGGACTCTGTGCCTTTCCCCTTCTCAGTGCTGGGACCCTTTCTAGCTTGAAGTATGCAAGCCCTGTGCATACTACCACAGTCTCTGAGTTCATATGTGCATCAACCCTGTTGTGTCTGGAAGACACTGATTCCTTGAAGTCATCCATTGGCTCTGACTCTTTAATCTCTCTACTCCTCTTCCACACAAGGATTCCACACAGATCCTTGAGCTTTGAAGGTGGAGCGGTGTATGAAACCCTCCTGATTAGGACTGAGTGTTCCAAAGTCTCTCACTCTGCACATTATCCAGTTATGGGTCTCCGTGTTAATTATCATCCTCTGAAAGAAGCTTCTCTAATGAGGGTTGAATGCTTGATGTATGGGTATAGCAATACGTCATTAGGAGTAGTTGTATTTTGATCTTCCTTACGTTTATAATAGTCTTACATTTCCCTAGGCCTATTCCCTGTGTAGTCTCAGGTTGGCCACGTTAGCAGTATCAGGTATTATTCCACCTCACGAAGTGGGGCTTTAATCCGATTATGAAAAAGGGTGGTTGGTTATTTTTAACATTTGTGCTATTGTTGCACTAGTATATCTTGTAGACAGATTACTACTGGTTGTAGTGTTTGTAGTTGTGTAATATTGGTCATTACTTTTCTTCTCTGGTACCATGCAGAGTACCTTCGAGTACCATGAATGCTAGTTAGTTGGAGTGAAGCTTCAAGTTGGGTACCAGCTCATTTTCTCCATGTTTGATGACATAAGTAAGTTGTGTCTTTAGCCATAGGACCTTATTGTCAGGTTGTGGAGAGTAACTGAACACCCTTGGCAATAGCTTGTGTTATTTGGGAGATCCATGGGACCCTTGGGCAATAATAACTCAACCAAATACAACCCATCTAGACACTGGTAGCTCTCCCGTTATATGTTGACCATATATGTATTTTTAAAGGAAGCTGCTGTAGTAATAGGTTTCCATATGCTTTTTCTAAAGGCCTTTTTTGTAGGCGGAGACTTCCTTTTGTTTTCCAGCCACCCAGACTCAAATAATCACACAGAAACTATATGTAAACAACACTGCATGGCGATGACTAAGGTGTATTCCTAGCTACCTTTTACATCTTAAATTAACCCATTTCTATTATTCTGTGTATCGCCACAAGGCTGTGGCTTACTGATAAGATTCTGGTGTCTTTCTCCTTCTGCAGCAATATGATGTCTCCCTGTCTCTGCCTTTTTTCTCTCTGCATTCAGTTTAGTTTCCTATCTGCCTTTATTCTGTCCTACCGTAGGCCAAAGCAGCTTCTTTATTAACCAATGATAATAAAGCATATTCATAGCATCCAGAGGGGAATCCCACATCAGCCTTTAGTATTATTATCCCTAAAAAGTCCTAGTGACTTTACCAGGAAATTTCTACACTTTAGAAAAATATCAAGATATAAAGAAACAGAAAATTTCTGAGTTAACAGAAATCAATAGCCTTTCTATATACAAATAGCAAGCATACTGAGAAAATTATCACAGAGAAAATTCTTGGTAGTCTCAAAAAATCAAACTCTTGGGATAACTCACTCCAAACATGTGAAAGGCTTGTATAATAAAAGCTTTAAGACACTGAAGGCAGAAATTGAAGACATCAGAAGATGGAAAGATTTCAGATGCTCATGAATCAGTAGGGTTAATATTGTGAAAATGGCCATCTTACCACAGGCACTGTACAAGTTCCATGCAATCCCCGTCAGAATTCCAACACAATTCATATAAATTGAAAAAGTGGTCTTCAACTTCATATGGCAACATGAACCCAGAAAAACCAAAATAGCTAAAACAATCCTGAATAATAAAAGAACTTTTGGAAGTATCACCATCCTAGATTTTAGGTTGTATTATAGTAGCAAAAACAGTATGGTTTTGTCATTAAAATAGATATGTTGGCCAGTGGAATCCAAGTAATGACCCAGGCACAAGTCCACACACCTATGGACATCTGATTTTTGACAAAGAATGCAAAAGTACACACTGGACCTAAGGTAGCATCTTCAATAAAAAATGCTGGTCACACCTGATGGCTGCCTGTAGAGGAATGCAAACAGATCCATATTTATCACCCTGTACAAAACTAACTCCAGATAAATCATGGACCTGGTACATTTACACAATGGAATGTTAATCAGCTGTTAGGAAGAAAAGACAATTTTGTAGGTGAATGGATACTGGATGACATTAGAAAAAGATCATCTTGAGTGAGGTGACCCAAACTCAAAAGACAGATATTACATGTGTTCTCCTTATATATGGATATTAGCGTTTAAGATTTTGATACTATCACAATTTTGTACTATTACAATCCAAGAAATCACAGAAGGAGAGGAAATAGAGTGATTGTTATGGAGAGATAAAGGGAGGAGTAGAATAGGAGGATTAAGTGGGGTGAGGAATGAGAGAGTAGGGCAAAGGAGACAACTTAGAAAAGAGAGAGTTCGTGATGCTGAGATGAAGGCATGGTGCAGGAGCAGTTGAGAGCTCACGTTTCCAACCACAGGCAGGAGACAGAGAGCACTCTGGGAATGGCATGAGTCCACCCCAGTGACACAACTTCTCCAACAAAGCCATACCTCCTAATCTTTTCCAAACAGTTACACCAACTGGGGACCAAGTATTCAAACTTAGCCTTTGGGAGCCTTTCTCATTCAAACCACCATAATGACACTCAGAGAAACGGGTGTTTTGACCACTGGATTAAAGAAAGAAGGATGGTTCTGATGGCATTGTAGCCATCCCAAGTTCTTGGTCCACCCCATGGTTCTGTGGGAGTGTTGGCTTCCTTTTAAAACTTCTAATGTAGGACTCAAGCATAGCTTTGCTGTGAAGAGGGCATATGTGATACTTGACTTGTAAAAGACTGGTTTTATTGGAAAACAATTTATATTTGTAACTGACTGACTTATTTAACTTTATAGATATCTGAGACCAGAAACTGCTCAGGGAATTTTCCTGAATTTCAAGCGGCTTTTGGAATTCAACCAAGGGAAATTGCCTTTTGCTGCTGCCCAGATTGGGAACTCCTTTAGAAATGAGATCTCTCCTCGGTCTGGACTGATCCGAGTCAGGTATTGTTGGCATTGGGTTGGAGATGTAAATTTGTACTTTAGTTTTGTCGTAGGTTTATTAATCTATTTTTCCCAGTGTAATCTCTGGTGAGGCTAACAGTTTTGATTGAGGACATGAATTATAAGGGAAAGGAAGGAGCCTGGATAATAACTTACGGCTCCTGTTTGCTCTGAAGCTATCTTTCCTCTGCTTACCACCTGTTTGAGGATATACAGATCTTGATGTTGAAATCAATGCCTTTCTGTCAGTGATGTGTATTATGGGATCAGCCTGGTGTGTGTGTGTCTGTGTGTCTCTGTGTGTGTGTGTGTGTGTGTGTGTGTGTGTGTGTCTCTGTGTGTGTGTGTTTTACAAAGAATGGGTAGTGTTCAGGGCAGGTGGCATTGCTAGGAGGGTGTATCCGTGATGCAGCCTCTGGATATGTTGGGTCTTCACTATTTTCTGTTTTCTTCCTGTAACTAGATAATAGTTTTCAAAGTGTATTGATCCATGCATTGTGGGATGATTAGCACAGGCAAACTCATAACCAATCTGTCCGTTTACATTGTTGCCGTTCAGTTCTTACTCTGGTGGTGAGAATCTTAGCCCTTTCAGCGGGTGCTGAATTGGTATTACATTATTAACTACAGTTGGCATGCAGTTTCCTGCAGAACAGATGGAAAGACTTTAGCAGCACCATTTTGGGGAGATTTTGGGTAGGATCTTTAATTCCTCTTCCCTGCACTGTTGAAGTTCAGTCCTGTCAGTCCTGGTGTAAGTTATGCAAGGACACAGCACGTTCCCCTCAGCTTCCCTGTGCGCAGACACATTTCATAGTTGGTGACAGATAATTAAGACTTAACGCTGTGGGACCAAATAAAATGTGCCATTAACGAGTAAAACTCAAAACTCAGCGCTCTTGGCAGTACATTTCTTATGTTTAGGGCCAATCTATGCAATTTTGTGTTGCTTCTAAAACATCTGAGATAATCATGAGAGTACACCATGAGATTGTGTCCATTTTCTAAAAAAAGATTTTGACTCATAAAATTAACTTAAAACACTCTCTCTTCCCCTGTAATAGCTACTAAATTGCAATTCAGAGAAATCTCTTTGGAAAACTGTTGCCGTGTGCATATTTATTTCGTCATTATGTGCTGCGCTTGATCGTGGCTTGTTCAGTTCATGCCCAGTGTCCTTTGCCTGGAATAACGCTTTATTTAGAAGCTCTTGCTCTAACGAGACCATCTGTTTGCTGCCATTATCAGTCATTTACTTGTTTGGAGCTATAAAACACAGTCAATCAACTGCTTTAAAACCCGGAGAACCATTTCAGTTCACTTCTAATTTCCCATTCTTTAAAAAGTAAATGTCCGTGGCTTCCTTTAGTATATATTTGTGCAAAGACCTGATGCTTAAAGCAGAATCATTTTATGTGGCTGTCACTGTTCAGCATCTCATTTCTCTTGTATGTGGCCTTTACTTGTTATCCTATTTTAAAGGCTGCATTAATCTGTTTTTAAAAATCAGTTTTATTGCTGGGCAATGGTGGCACATGCCTTTAATCCCATCACTTGGGAGGCAGAAGTAAGCAGATTTCTCTGAGTTCGAGGCCAGCCTGGTCTACATACAGAGTGAGTTCCAGGACTACACAGAGTAACCCTGTCTCAAAAAAAAAACAAAAACAAAACAAACAAGCAAAAATATTTATTTATAGTTGATACTCTTGGGTATAGCTACATAGAAGAAATTAATATTTGAGAACAGCTTGTTGCTGAAGTTATTATTTTTATTGTTGTTATTTTGATACTACGGATTGAACCTAAGGGCTTGAACATACTAAACATAAACCCTATCACAGAGTTGTATTCCAGGCCAGTTACTTATGTTCTTCAAAAAGCAACCACCTTCACAAACTTCAATTAAAAATCTTTGGCTAATTTCCTTAGGAAGCTGGTGCTCTGCTTGGTTACAAGAAATTCTTGTAGTTTAGGCCATTTATCTGTGAGGAATGAGCAGCTAGAAGTAGGAGCATCGGTGACTCAGTTTTATAGCTGAGCATGCAGATTTCTGTTTCCCCCCCTTCCAGGGAATTCACAATGGCAGAGATTGAGCACTTTGTAGATCCCACAGAGAAAGACCATCCCAAGTTCCAGAGTGTGGCCGACCTCTCCCTTTATCTGTACTCGGCAAAAGCGCAGGTCAGCGGACAGTCTGCTCGGAAGATGCGTCTGGGAGATGCTGTTGAGCAGGTACGATTCTGGAGGAAATTATTTGATTATGCCCAATTGGGGATGACTGCACTTAGCAACTTGGTTGTGCATTGGATGATGGAATCTTTGCCTTTTGCAGTATTTTTGTTTATTTATTTATTTTGCAGCATTGCGGGTCAAGCCCAAAGGCATGTGCAGGCTTGGAAAGTGCTTGGCCTGCATCTTCAGCCCCTGACAGTGTTTGTCTATTGTGGTACTGGTGAGCAGACCTAGGTCCTTGCATGCTAAACAAGTGACCTAGCTCTGAGCTACAGCGCCAGTCTCCATGTAGTATTTTTTCTGTTTGTTTAATATAGAATTTATTTTACAGTATTAATATTATGAGAAACATTTATCTGAACCACCCAATTCTGAGCCGTGAGGCTAACATAAGAAAAGTGCTTAGGGGTTGCAGAGTTAGTTCAGAGCTGCTCTTCTAGAGGACCTGGATTCAATTCCCAGCACCCACATGGCAGCTCACAGCTGTCTAACTCTAGGGCATCTGACACCATCATACAGATATACATGTAGGCAAACACTAATGTATGTGAAATAAAATTTAAAAAAGAAAAATGTTTAGCAGATGGGCCTGGGAGGTGGCTCAGTAAGTAAAGACACACCTACTGCTAAGTCCGAGGGCCTGAGTTCAATTCCTGGGATCCATGTGGTGAAAGGAGAGAACCAACTCCTGCCAGTTGTCCTCTGGCCACACATAGAACTTTAAAATTCTTGTCGAGCAGAGCACTTAGGAATTAGGTCTTGGTTTGAACTGTGTATTGTATCTAACTAACCCTGTGTTAATAATCTGCACCACTCTGGGAGAGTCAAGCACTCTGAATCCAAACCTCTTTGTGTTGCCCACAGTGTAGGGTTATAGGCCTTGTATGTCGATGGGTTTCTATCTGCCTGGAGAAATGAGTGAGTGGAGACTTACCCTCATGAGCTGCTTCCCAGTAGTGGCTGTCTTGCCTGGAGGAGCACTTGACCCTTCTTTTCCCAGAAATACACAGGAAGAGGTATCGCCTATTTTGTGGAAATGATCTGCTGTGCTAAATACCATAACCAAAAGCAACTTGGGAGGAAAGGGTTTATTTTAGATGATAGAATACTCCATCATTGAGGGAGGCCAAGGTAGGAGCTTGAAGCAGAAACCAGTGGAGAAATGCTACTGACTAGCTTGCCTCTCCTAGCTTGCTAAGCCACCATTCTTACACAGCTCAGGCCCACCTCCTCAGGGATAGTACACCTCATCTGCAGGAGACTGGTCCTTGCTATATCAATTAGCAGTCTGCAAGGGTCTCCGCTTCCACCACGGCCAGTGCAGAGGAACTGTCTGAGAGCTGAGAAAATGGTTTGGTTCAGCATGACTCAGTAGCTGGTGTTGGTTCAAACTTTGAGAGTCTGACCCTGGGTGGATTATTTTAAGCATATTTAAGCACAGTACAATTTGGAAAAAGTTTCCTGGTGATAATTAACTGAATCCCTTGTGCACAACAAAGCTTAAAGCACGACTGCTTCAAACTCTGTAAAGTATAAGTAATATCTTCCATAAAGATTGAGAAAACAGGCTCAAGGTAAGGTTCTGGGGCAGGACAGTGCTACGGATTGACTGGGACAAAGAAACTCAAGATAAGAGTCTGGGGAGAGGGTCAGGTGTGGCCTGGCTACACAGGTAGCACAAAGGTCATCAGATTATTAACCAAGTCTGTTCCCAACCTTCTGGGTGGAAAACAGGTTATCCATCTCATCTCTCCCTTTGAAGAGTGTATTTAACCTTCCTGGTTACCTTAGTGCCTATCTGAGTACAAGGACTTGTATGTCTTCTACAACAAATCAAGAAAATACCCATTGGCCAGTATGATGGAAGTAGTTCTTCCTTTCAGATTCCTTCTCAGGGATTCTAGGTTTGTGTCAAGTTGACAAAACTAACCAGTTGACAGACTTGCAGTGGTAGAAAGTGAGGCTAGATAGTTTCTAAGGTCTAGTACTAAAGGTACAAATGATATGACTATATGGAGCAGATGAATTTCAGTGGGTTAGAATACAATTTAAAAAATTCAAGATCGGGCAGTGATGGTGCATGCCTTTAATCCTAGCACTCACACTCAGGAGGCAGAGGCAGAGAGATCTCTGATTTCAAGGCCAGCCTGGTCTATAGAGTGAGTTCCAGGACAGCCAGAGCTGTTACACAGAGAAACCCTGTCTTCAAAAACAAAACAATTCCATATATTTCTTCAGTTAGTTTAGTGTCATATATGACTGGATTTCAGGAGTATATGGTATAGGGCTGACATTGTGCTGCTGCAGCTGAGTCCATTGGACAGATATCTTAAACTTTTGTTGGTGCTGTTTTGGTTTTGTTGGTGTTTTGTTTTTTTTGTTTTGTTTTGTTTTTGTTTTTTGAGACAAAATCTCACTATTTAGCTGTAACTGTCCTGGAACTCACTCTGTAGATCACTCTAGCCTGAAACTCACAGAGATCTGCCTGCCTCTGCCTCCCTAGTGTTGGGACTAAAGTGTGCACCACTAGGCCCAGTGTGTTAGACATATTTGACAACTTCATCATTAACTTCTTAACTTGATGATAACTCTTAAAATAACTAGGACCTCATTGTGGGTATTTTAAATTGTTCTGAAAGCAAGAAGAAGGTTTACTCTGTGTGTCTTTTTATCAGTAGACTATGAAATACTATAGATGGTACCTTGGTCTTCAGAGGTGTTGATGTGTATTTTTTCCCATGTTCAGGGTGTCATTAACAACTCAGTATTAGGCTATTTCATTGGCCGCATCTACCTCTACCTCATGAAGGTTGGAGTATCTCCTGAGAAACTCCGCTTCAGACAGCACATGGAGAATGAGATGGCCCATTATGCATGTGACTGCTGGGATGCTGAGTCCAAAACGTCCTATGTAAGTAGACTGCAGTGAGTTTTTACACTGCCATTTACTGTTCTTTATGCCAGAGTAGACCAAAGAAACTAGCAAGACTACAGTTGACTTGTGCTCCTTGTAGCGAGGGACTGACCCTGTGTGTCTAAAAACACCGGGACACAGAGATGGCCGCTGTAGATGGGGAGCGAAGGGTGAAGGTGGTGTGGCACGGGTATGCCCGCTGTGCCTGCTCCCGGGTGTCTGGTACTGTAGCCCCCCCACCCCTCACCCCCAGTGGAGACAAGACACGCATCCAGCAATGCTGGCACTGGTGGCAGGGCTACAAGATTATAGCACTCTTAGCTTAGAGAACTATTTGGTAGATCTAGGAGATAGACTAGGAAATTCTGACCTCTTTTTCTCTAAGCAAGGGGCCTGAGAGCATCTGGGTCTTCCTGGTTGCATGTCTCTCTTCACTTATAGAGAGAGAAACTGCTGTCGCTCAGGGAACATGAGTTACACAAGGTCATTGGCTTTGTGTTTTACTTTTATAAAATGATTTTGGTTTTTATTTTGTTTATTTAATGCAGTCTGATATGTTAACTCAGGCTGGCTTAAGCCATGAACCTCTTGCCTCAGCCTCCAAGTGCCCAGTTCCAGGTATGAGTCACCATATCTGACCTTAGTAAGTGACTTTATTTTTATGGATTAATTTTTTTCTTAACATTTTTAATGATTCATTTTTATTTTATGTGCATTGGTGTTTTTGCCTGCATGTATGTCTGTGTGAGGTTGTCACATCACTTGGAGCTGGATCACAGACAGTTGTGGGCTGCCATGCGGGTGCTGGGAATTCTACTTGGGTTCTCTAGAAGAGAACCTAAGTTCTCTTAACCACAGAGCCATCTCTCCAGTCCCGAATTAATTTTCTCTAATTAAAAATTAGTTATACTTAAAAAGCAATGACTTATTTTTATAAGAAAGAATGCCAGATGTCAGCCTGGAAAATAAGGCCACCAAATAGACAGTGTCAATTTCTCTATGTACTTTATAAACTCCCTCATGTATGAACTGTTCTCTTTTTAATAACTTACAGAATCCAGTTGGAGATTCTCTAACTGCATATTTGGGAGGATCAGGTGCTGTCTGCATGTTTTCATGAGCAGCAGCAGTGTGAGCAGTAAATGAGTTTGTTCTGTCCCCCTAGGGCTGGATTGAGATTGTTGGGTGTGCCGACCGTTCCTGCTATGACCTGTCCTGTCATGCTCGAGCCACCAGAGTCCCACTAGTAGCTGAGAAGCCTCTGAAGGAGCCCATATCCTTTCTGGCCACTCCAGACTGAAGGGTAAAGGTGTGTGAGCCCCAATTTGTCCCTTGGTTTTGGGGGAATAGAGAGCTTTAGAACTGGTTAGTTGTTGGTTTTTATCCCTCATTGCTCCTTTGCTAGTCTCTCCTTAGGGTCTAATGAGCACCCCAGCATTAGGCCCTTACAGACACACGTTTGGAGGCACACCCAGAATGTTTTTCAGGGTGTTGCTTTTTGTCAGATGTTTCCAACACGCCTTTCTCTGCACCTACATATAAGATGGCTGGTGAATGTTGTTCTGCTAGAACCCGAGTGCTGTTTTAAGATAATTTAGCTTACTCACTCTATAAGTTAGCAGAATGCAAGTTTGCACACACCCCCCATTTTGTTTTTCTAGGTAGGGTCTCTCTGTGTAATAGCCCTGACTGTCCTGGAACTCACTCTGTAGACCAGGCTGGCCTAAAACTCACAGAGATCTGCCTGCCTCTGCCTCTGCCTCCTGAGTGCTGGGATAAAAGGCGTGCACCACCATGCCCCCACTGAGTTTGCTTCTTATCTGGCTCTGACATTGTGAGCTGTTCCTTAGGGTTGACTATTGACAAAACCAGATTTTTTTAAAAAAAAATAAAATTTATTTACTTATTATTTGTTTGGACTTTTGATACAGCACATGCATGGAGGTCAGGACAACCTCCAGGAGTCAGTTCCATCCTTTTGTCATGTGGGTTCGGGGATTTCGTTCATTTTGGAAACAAGCGCTTTTTCCCACCTCATTTGTCAAAGATATTACCAGTTCTTATGCTACCGATTGAGATATGTTGTGGATTAGGTAATATCTTATTTATTTCACTACAACCTTAAAAACGTTTGATAATAGTATTCATTCTTTCTTTGTGTGTGGTTTGTATGTTCATCTTCATGTGTGTAAGGGTGTATGCAGACATGTCCAAATTGAGCGTCTTCCTCTGTTGCCCTCTACCTTTTTTGAGACAGTCCCTCACTGAAATGGAGTTCATGATTTCACCAAGACTGACTGAACAGCAGCCCCAAGGAGGCCTCTTGTCTCTGCTTCCCCAGTGCTGGAACTGTAGGCATGCACAAGCACACTTGGCTTTGATGTGGGTGCTGGCCACCTGAGCTCAGAGCCTCATGCTTGTGTAGAGTCACCTCCCCAGCCCCTGCTGTAAGGCCGCTCAGGATGATTTTGTGTGTCCCTGACTCATCTTGTGCTTGAAACAGTAATTAACGGGGTCTGGGTTGCTGGTGCTGACAGCATTACCGGTGGTTTTAGCGTGTTACAATCATTTCCAAAGTCCTAAAGCAGTGCTGTGTTGCAATTCCTTGACTGTTTTATACAAAACAGTTAACGTCGTACAGTTTGAGCCCAATAAGGGAGCAGTGGGCAAGGCGTACAAGAAGGACGCCAAGCTGGTGATGGAGTACCTCAGCGCCTGTGACGAATGCTACATTACAGAGATGGAGCTGCTGCTGAATGAGAAAGGGTAAGGTGCTGCTTCTTCCTGGGGCCCATTGCAGGCTCAGCGGAAGCAAGATGGGTGTTTCTAGAAGGGTTTTAAGGTAAGTTCTGTCTTTGTGGTACTGGTGTTTAAATAACTCTTGTTGCTAGAATTTCAGCAATTATAGCCTAGAAACATATTTGAAGCAAAATAATAAAGATCTTATTATCTTCATGAACATTGTCCCAGCTTTAATCTCCAGCATCTCAGAGGAGCAGGTTCTTTTCTAGTGATTTTCCTAGAGGAGACTTCTGAGTTAGATTTGAAGCTAATCTCACCTTTCCTTGGAGGCCTGGAGTACTCTGTAATCATAGACAGAAGCACAGCAGAGGCGAGTCCTTAAAGGAATACAACAAAATCCAGTTCCAGACGGTGTAGAACCTATCGTAATAAAAAGTAATCTGTGACTCCTGGTGAGGGAAGTTAATTAGAAGACCTTGAAATAAGAAACAGGACTAAGTGGGAGGAGGGGCGGAAATGGAAACTTTTATAATTTAATAAAATTACAAAAAAAAAAAGAAACAGGACTAAGTAAATACATACATAAAGTAAGATAGTTGTATATGTGTGCATGTTCTTACATATGGAAAGGAAGGGCTGAAGAGATGGCTCAGCGGTGAAGAGTGCTTCAGCTCCAGGGCCCTCTGAACTCGTGGGCACCGGCCCACATACGGCAAACATTCATACACATAAGTTTTTAATAAAGACTCTAAAGGAAAACATGGACCGTTGTGAGACGTGGAAGTGTAAACACAACCTCCCATTGCTACCTCGCTGTGTGGGGCAACAGTGAATTAAATAGTGCAGAGGAGATAACATTTAATTTAAGGTCACAGTCTCAGAAACTCCATGGAGCGTCAAAAGTTAGAGGCTGGGAGATGCCATGGAACAGCGCCAGACAGATAAACACACGTGTGAAGCAAACATCTGATGATGTGGTAGCAAGAAACTTAGCCCAGGCAGGTTGAAGACAAAAAAATGACATGATGGCGTATTAGACTCAGATTGCTAAAAACTGGGGACAAGGACAAAAATCTTTAAAGCAGTCAATAGGGGAGAAAGAGTCGTTATATAACAGCCAAGAAAGATGAGAGAACACTGTGGGTTAGGGTCTGTAGGTGTCTAGAGCCAAAAGTATAAACATGCTAGACTCAGCAATACTGTGAGACAGCAAAGGCTCCATGAAGTGTTGGGATGCAGATCTCTCAAAAACAATGCCAGAGCTTTAAAAAGGAGAAATACGCGGTGAGTGTACACATGTAAGTTCCTTAGAGAGACAGTGGACTGAGCACTGGGAGGTGACTCAGCGGATAAAGTGCTTACTGTGCAGCCGCGAGAACATGAGTGTCCATCCCCAACCCACAGAAAAGCCCCACTCTGTGCCTCGCTTCTGTAACCCCAGTACTACATGACAGATGTCAGGGGCTTCTGGAAGACATTCCACAGTCACTGGCCCCACATATGCCCACATGGACAGTCCTGCACGTACAGAATGAGAACGGACTATCTAAAGCAAAAACAACAGTATGTTATGGAATTTATGTATGGAAATGAAATGCATGCCAAAGTAAGAGTAAATGATTGGGAGTGTACTGTTACAAAGGTAGATGGAGTGACAGAACCTTAGGCAGTGCAGGCAGTAAATTCCAGAGCTGTTGCCTACAGAGAAAGCACGCAGACCAGACACAAACTTAAAATGCTGTTTAAAATACACAGGACCTCTAGAAAACTGGTAAAAAGGACAAAGATGGCAGACTTGTACTGAATGCAAATGAAATAAAATAATCTAGTGTTAGTGAATATGTTCCAAAAGTTCCAGACTTGATTAAATGCAATTTACACTGAACTTCAGTGATAATACAGAAGCAGGTTTAAACGTAAAAAGATGAAGATTTTATATAAATACTAGTCAAAAATTGGAGTGCTATGATCTCCAGACACTAAAGGTGGTTACCCAAGAGGTTGTGTCTAAATACGAACACAACTGAAACTAGAACTTAAAACCGAAGAGAAACCAGGCGTCTCTCAGTTACTGTAGATGTCTACTGTCAGCAATTGGCAGACCGAGCAGAAGAGGAACACAATAGGAGGTAGAAGCACGCACTGTTAATAACTGAATTTGTCCATTTGTAGAACCGTCGTTAAAATGTATCAGAACCCTTGCTGTTTCTCCCACCTCTTTTTCCTTTTAGAATTGCTCTCAAACAAAAAATGATTTTTGAATTTTCAGTGGGGTGGGTTTAAACAAGAACAGTAACAAAAATACTCAAATGAAACAAAACAAGAAAACAATATACAAGAGACCACATAGGGCCAGCAAATGCAAAGTATTTCATGACTGCTCTTTTACTGAAGGGTTATCATAGTCTTATAGTCTCTAGTTACATAGACACCTAGGAAAGACACTGCTGTAATGGAAAGCAGATTACTTGTCATTTCGAGTGAGGGCACAGAGGAGAGGGACTTGGGAACCTGGAGGCCATGAAGGTGTGGGTGTTTACCATTCACTAACAACAGTCGTGAATTCTGCAAGACCATTCTCTGGGTTTAATCTCAAGCAGTAGCTGTCTTGCTAACTGTTCTGTAGGGGTTTCCAACTTTGCATTTAGACTACTCATAGACTATGTGACACTGTGCACACACACACAAACTTCAAACCAATAGTTATTTCAAGGAGATCAGTGGAAACCATCCAGATGAGGTAGATTGTGACAGGAAGATCCCAGCTTCAAGACAACCACATGAGGGCGCTCTCTAGTTCTGGGTTGCCGTCAGGCCAGAGAACTGGACACAGGCCTTTAGAGTGAGAAAATAGCTGGAGTGTAGGGCCATGTAGGGTGCCCCTGGGAACCTATAACTGATCTTAGGACACAAACATATGACAGCCATGGGGGGGGATGTTTTATACTTTGATAGCAAACAGTCTGGAAACCTATTTAAAGTTGATCTTTATTTACTCTACTTTTGTGTGACAGTGAGCTAGTCTGTGTTTATATTTGCTGGGATAGTGTGAAGGGCTGTGATCATTTTATTTGCAGAACTATTTTGGACAAATTTGATTACAACAGTTTTGGTTTTTTTTTTAAGCTTTTATATTTAATCTTGACTTCAAGATCAGAGGAATTTACCGTTAAATCAGTTGTAGAATTTTATAAAGTGAGCCACACTTTTACATCCTCTTCAGGATATGGTTTGGTGCCACTGTTTGGTGGTCCTTATGAAATGACTTTGATTTGATTTGAGTTGTAATCTGGAGAAAAGACCACATTGTGTTAGCACTTAAGATGAAGCATGTTCAGCATGCTGGAGGAGGGGTACTTGTTTTACTGCTGTGTAGTGAGTTTTCTCCCTTTTTTCTCTGTTTATAGGGAATTCACTATTGAAACCGAAGGAAAAACATTTCAGTTAACGAAAGACATGGTCAGTGTGAAGAGATTCCAGAAAACACTACACGGTAATTCATGAGAACAATAAAAAAACAAGCAAATAGCAACCATTATTCCTGAACAAAAAAAAGAAAAAGAAAAAAAAGGTTTAATCATTTAACATAAGTTTTGAAAAGAAAAGCCACTTAATGGCTAAGGAAAAGCCTTCTCTTGGACGTTTTTCTCTTTCAAGAGGCTGGTGCTCTGTGCTGAACAGTAAAAGTGCCCTGTGTTCCCTGCGACACAAGGTGCATGGGATGAGATCTGACTGAAGACCGGTACTACTGTTAAAAGGCTTTGTTTCTTGAGTAAAAGGGCCTTCTTTCACCTAACCTGCATTTCTGGGAGGTTTTGTTTGGGTAAAACATATTAAAGATAGTTTTTTTTTACTTTGAATGCTTTTTATAAGACTAAGAATAATGTTTTGTTTTGGTCGGGCAGAGTCTGAATTAGGCAGTGTGTATTTTGGAGCACGTGTGAAGGTTACTTGGACCTGAAATGAAGCTCCTAGAAACTGTTGTAGATATTTGAAAAGCTGTGGCCAGTGGACAGGAGAGACCTGGCCTTGGAGCCAGCACAGGGGTGAATAGGATGCCCATTGTGTCCTGGCAGCTGCCTCAGAGTCTATACCTTGCCAGCACTCAGCTGCTACAAAGGATGGACAGAAACCGTGCCTTCATTATGTTCCTAAAATGCATTCTTTTTCCCTGGTGGTTCTAAGGATCAACCCGCGGTCTTGTTCATGATAGGTGGGCAAGTGCTATACTAAGCTACATTTTACTCTTTTTATTTCTTTTTTCCTTTGTAATGGTATGTGGATCTATTAATACAATTCACTATACTGGTGGTGCTGAAGGTCTCTGGAAAGAGGGTACTCAGTCCACGTAAGTCTTTGGATGTGATGAGTGAAGGAGAAACTAATGAAAGCACATTTTACATGAAGGGGAAGCAGGCATGTGATGACAGTGACTCCTTTATCACAAATGGTTATCTCATTCCCCACAGAGCAGGAGCTCCCCAAGGCCTCCAGGGAGAGAGTTACCATACCTTCCTGAGTGTGGCCTCTAGGAAGAACTGTAGCACCCTGAGGAAGGTGTTAGATGGGATAGTGGGCCTTGAGCAGATTCTCCCTTCGGTGTTTCCTGACCCGGGACCTTGAATACAGTGGTGCTAACTTGGCTCTGAAAGTGTTCTCGCCTGGTAACAAGCCAGAAAGTCAAATACAAGTCATAGTTGTCACAATTGTTCTGTGTTAGCTGTGGGGGTTGGTAGATTTTTTTTTTTTCATTCTTTGTGTTTCTTCAAGTATTGAGGATTGAACCAAGGATCTCTCACTTGGTAGGCAAATGTTTGCCATTGTGCTGTATCTTCAGCCCTTTTTCTCACCTCTTATGTTGAGAAGGACTTTACTTAGTTCTCCAGGACTGGCTTTTAAGTTGTTTGGGCCCAGGGAGTTCTAGAACTAGCAATCCTCCTGTCTCGGCCTCCTGATTATAAACTTGTATCGCCAGATCTAACTTAAGGTATTTGTTTTGTTTTTAAATTTGGTTTTTATGTATATGTTTTTGCCTGCATGTATGTCTGGGTACTACATGTATGCCTGGAAACCAGAAGAGGCTTCAGATTGCCTAGAACTGGAGTTACAGACAGTTGTGAGCTGTCTCTCTAGTCCCCAGTAGTTGATTTCACAAAGTCTTAATGCAAGCTCCAGCTCTCTTGGCTTCCTAGAAAGGCAAAGCCAGAGATAAAGTAGAGAACTCGGCTGCTCCTAGAACTCAGGCTTCATTTCTATATGTGAATAAAGCTGGTTCACAAATGCTTTGACTCTAACTTCTCTTCCAAGGGATCGTATTTATCATCAGCACATAGTTCCTATAAGTGTGTTCTCCATCCTGCTATACAGAGTTCCAGGCTCTGGTTTGCATCGTGTGGTTCTAGAGAGAGTATTACTGAATTATCGCCTCTTTTGCAGTGGAAGAAGTTGTTCCAAGTGTAATTGAGCCCTCCTTTGGCCTGGGCAGGATCATGTATACCATATTGGAACATACATTCCATGTCCGAGAGGGAGATGAGCAGAGAACGGTAAGCTGCCCCTGGGATGAGCTCTTCTTAGCTGTGATGTGTGCGGGGAACTGCCGTACTAGGTTCTAGTCTGGCAAACTCATAGTTTAAGACTGAGACCCAGGCATCTGTGCAGTGTTAAGTTTTGTTTTTCTTTAATAACTCTCCCAGTGCGCACGTGCATGCGCGCACACACACACAAATTCCAATGTGTTCCAGTGTGTTCAGCTGACAGATCTTAGAGTGGGCAGCAGCATCTGAGCATCTGGGATGGAGCTTTTCTGGCCTTGAAGTGTTGAAGAAGTTGGAGTTGATAAGAAGCCTTATCAGTACCTTCACCTCTCTTCACTTGCTGATTCTGTGTCTTAGGCTCCATGCCTTCCACTCTGTCCCCTTGGCTCGTGAGCCTTTGCCTTTGTGATCTCAGTCTGTCTAGGAAGGTATATTCCTGTAGCTTCTAGCAGATTTCCAGGAGGATAGTCAAAAAGCTAGCTAGAAAAAAAGAGAGGTTCTGTCTATATCACACCAGTTAAAGAAACAGTCTCATACCTGCAGTCCAAAGCCGAGCATTTATGTAACATTTGATGTCAACCCTCAGTTCTTTGTGAAGCACTGAGCCTTGGAGAATGAACTGGTGAATTCTAGATGCCTTCTAGAAAGTCTGACATACTATTTTGCTATGTAGCTGATAAAATTGCCTTTTTGACCAGACAGTGGTGATGAACACTATTAGTTCTTGTACTAGGGAGGTAGAGGCAGGCAAATCACTGAGTTTGGGGCCAGCCTGGTCTAAAAATGAGTTCTAGGACAGCCTGGACTATTAAACAGAGAAACCCTGTTTCAAAAAACTACTGACAACAATAACCCCCCCCCCCAAAATAACAACAACAAAATATTGCCCCTTTACCCCCAAAAAAATAACAACAACAACAAAATATTGCCCCTTTATATCTCTGTAAAATACATCTTCATTCTCTATTTGAGGGAGCAGCTGACCTTCTTTTGGCAGACAGTAGTAGCTGGCCTGGGCAGTAGGTGTGCCTATGCAGACAGCACTTTCCAGGGAGTGATGGTGTGCTTACCTAAAGGTGTTCTTTCAGATGGCAATTTTGCTTCATGTTTTTCCTGCTTATTTTTCTAATAGAAAAGTTTTTAGTTTTTAAGAAAAAAATCTTTTGGCTGTTTCTTTGAATTGAACAATATTGATATAACTAGAGCTTTAATAGACATTTCATAAAAGCTAAACAAGAATAAATTAGTCACGCTGTTATGAATTGCATAGAGTCCCTTCATGAAGAGAGATTTGATTAGGCTGTGGGAAGCCAAAATGTTTCTGAATTATTAGCACTTACTTACTTAATCCACTTGCCTACAGATTTGGTGTAAAACATTTCTAGTGAAATTTTTAAAAAGTATTTCTGTAAAGGCAAGTTCCTTTTCCTCATGTGAAGTAGAATTACAAGCTGGAGGGAGTTGGGTTCTGTGTTGTGCTGGCTGAAGCACAAGGGTCCCTTAAGGCAGCATATTTGTCATTGCTGCCCTCAAGGGGTAATTAAGCTTTGAGAGGAACCTAGCCTGGATTCCATCACTCAGTGGTTTAATGGGACAGATCCATTGTCAGGTAGCATGTTCTTGCCTTCAAATGAACCTTTTGTACAAGTACTATTTAAGAACCACCTTTAGCTCTCATCTCCAACCCTAAATGGCCAGCTGGTTTGCCTGCTGAAGAACATCTGCTGTCTGATTCTGAGTTCTCGTTCACGTACAGTGTAGGGTTGAACTATTGTTCTCTGTAGGCGGACAGAACACCTTTTATTTTCTTGTTTAGACTTTTTTTTTTTTTTTTGGTACAGTAGCTCTGTTTGAGTTCATTAAAATTTTCGGTTGCACTTGGTCTCACAGGCCTGTGGGCTCTTCTTTAGAGAACTGAGGGCTTGGGGTTTCGGCACTGCCATGTGTTGTTTAGTTCCCTGGGAGGCGCTTCAGGTGGTCCTCAGAAAGGATCCCCACACTGACCACCATGCACACTTTCAGAATGCTTGCACGTCGTTAATACTGTGAGCTCAGCAGCGTGGGCAGTAGAAGCAGGGACTGTTGAGAGAATCCACAGGCTGGGCCGGGCGTGGACTAAAGTTCTCACCCTGTTGTCCCTTTTGTCACGTGGTTGTCACCCTAGTGTTCTGGGCATCTGATGGCAGAGTGGTCTGAGTTACCTACTGAGTATAACTACTTGTACTTTGGGATGTTAACATTTCTTTATAAACTAACATTTGAATTTCTTTCTTTTTAAACCATCTAGTTCTTCAGTTTCCCTGCTGTGGTTGCTCCATTCAAATGTTCTGTCCTTCCGCTGAGCCAAAACCAAGAGTTCATGCCATTTGTCAAGGAATTATGTAAGCAAATCCAATCGGGCAATCTCCATGGGAGCGTGGTCGGCAGACTCAGTTTTACAGAATGTGTTATCTGTTTCAGGAAAAGCATAGATTGACTGTGAATAAATAAGACTTCAGCCTCTGCTCTTACACTTGTGCTCTTACACTATTTTAGCATTGGGTGAGCAGGAGTCAGAGTTAAGGTTCCTTGCTGCCCTTGTTGACCCTATGGAATGTGGCACCTACTGGATCTCCAGCCACTGAGTCTACAGCACTGGAAGGGACCCCGGAGTGCCAGCCCCTTCTGAGCTGGGAAACAGGGAGGCTGCCTGAGCAGCTCAGGACCGAGCTCTTACCTTAGCACCTGTCCAGTCCTCCTTCCCATGTAGCTCTGTAAGGTGCAGATAGCAGTGACTGGGCTCCAGCAAGGGACTTTGTCAACATCCATGCAACTGAGATTTGCTGCTCCTTGTCTCAGGGTCCTTTGTGTTTCCTGAGCTTCTAAATTTATATTCAGGTAGTGCTGGGAGTTTCTGCAGTATTTCACTCTTACCTCACTTTGTTTTGGATAGCGGAAGCTCTGACCAGGAATGGCGTGTCTCATAAAGTGGATGATTCCTCTGGGTCCATTGGAAGGCGCTATGCAAGGACTGATGAGATTGGCGTGGCTTTTGGCATCACCATTGACTTTGACACAGTGAACAAGACCCCCCACACTGCAACGCTCAGGGACCGAGACTCCATGCGACAGATAAGAGCAGAGGTGAGTGGTCTTTTCTTTGACATTCATCTTAGACATGTGCACAGCTTCCTACTCGCTTGAATTAGACTTTGATGTATTTATATTCCTGCTCCCCCCTTTTTTTTTGTAATATCAATGATGAGTTTGTATCAGAGAAAGCCTGGATTCCCAAAACTGTTTGGTTTAATTATGAAAATACCCATTAGCACTTGTCTAATATTGTATAGACATTTGGATTGCTCTGGGCTCCTTCTCCAGCAGTTTGTTTTTATGGTTGATTGTTTATTGGGCAAGAGAAATGTCATCCCATGAGGCTGTTGCCATAGTTTTGTTGGCAAGCTTTGGGGACTTAGACATTTTTGCCATTATACTTCTATAGAAACATAAAAATGTGTGTATAAACTTTGTGTTAGTCCGTTGGAAATGGAATATTTCTGTGATTTTATGTAAAGAGAAGAGAATAATGGGGTGGGACAAGCACAGAAGGCTCGCTGCGTGGTAGAGGAAGGGGCTGGAGGGGGCACTGCTCTTGGTAATTGCCTGACTAAGTTTCCTGGCTGCTCTGGACTGCCATTCTCGGCAGCTGTGGTTCTCAAAGAGTATGAGCCCCAGAGCAGCCTCAACACCAGCATCTCCTGGGAACTTGTCAGAGCGGCAAGATCTGTACCCCGAACCTGCCAGCCCATTCGTCAGTAGGAGAGGGAAGGGCTGCAGAAGGGTCTACCAACCAGGCTCTACAGATGTTGCTTTTCCACGCCCAACTTTGTAAAGCACTGCTGGTGGCCACCGACACGTGCATAGGCTGGGCAGCTGACTCTCTGCTGCCCTTCATAGACTTGATTAGCTACAGGAGTCCATTTACCAGGTGGGGAATAACTTAAAACAGAGGTGCAGAATAGGACCGGAAGCTTTGCGGCAATGCTGAACCGTCAGGGGAACTGGTGGGCTTAGTGGACTTGAGAACAAAGACCGCAGCCTAGGAAGGGGTGAGCATAATTAAGAACAAACACGGCTTTAGAGGGACTTCATCATTACACAGAGTGTGCTCTGTACTGTGTATAAGGCTTCCTGAATTCAAGGCGAATACTCTCTTCACAAACGTAAAGTAGGCTAATGCTTGCACTTGTTTTCTCTTCCCAGGTCTCTGAACTGCCTGGTGTGGTCCGTGATCTGGCCAACGGCAGCATCACTTGGGCTGATGTGGAGGCCAGGTATCCCCTCTTTGAAGGGCAAGAGACTGGCAAAAAAGAGACAGTAGAGGAATGAGAGCAGCTGGCAGCTCGTGATGACTGTGCTAATGAATAACTATCATGTCCACTACACAGGAATTGTGACTGCGTCCATGGACTGTATTCTCGTCAGTGGCTGCTTAATTTTACCCTTGCATTAAAGTTAAAGGAATTCTGAACAAAGTTATCATCCATTTGTTATGTTTCCTTTTTTTTTTTTAAAGCAAAGACATATCTCTTACACATTTATTTGGTTAGGTGTGCTTGTGTTTAACATGGTACATCTTTTTAAAATTAAGTTTTATTGGAGTATAATTTATAGACCGCAAATTATTTCAAGTGTACAATTTAGTGTTCTTAATGAGTTAAACAGCCACAGTCCAACTTTAGAACATTTATACCGGAAGGAATTCTCATGCCCATTTTTCATAAGCCTCCATTGCCTCCTCAGCTCCCAGCAGGCACTAATCTACATCTGTAGATGAGCAAGTGATGCCCTGTTCCAAAGAGACAGCCGTCTCCAGGCAGCTTGGTGGCTTCTGGGAAAGACTGAGTGTATGGGAAGATGGTGCTGACGTAGGGTAGGTTTCTGCCTACCCTGCAATCTCAGTTCCTAGCTTCCTTGTGAGTCCTGGAAGTCATTGGTTTCTTGAGGCTGGAGGAGCCCCAGCTCGGTTGCCTGGCTCAGCAGTTCCCAGTGTCTTGATCCTGGTTTTATTGTTTAGTCTTTGTTTTCAAAAGGTTTGCTACTTGTGCATTTTTGTTTAGAACACTGAGATGTCACATATTTACCTAAGGAACAAATACGTTTAAGGAAGAAGCAGTTTGTAGAATCTTAATTGTCTGGCTCCCAGCTCTGGCCCATGCATGTCTAGGATCGCTGGCCTCCGGAGGGTCCCCAGTGTTCTCTCACCACATTGCTATGATGCTGCAGGTGGCAGGGACTCAGCAAAGACCTTGGGTTAGTATTAGTTTTCTGAGCTGGGACTGGAGCTGGTGATTGTGTACTGAGCTGTACCCGCAGCCCCAGCCCACCCTCAGCATTAAAGTCACGAGCAGACCTTCCTGGGAAGAAGCCTTTTACCACGGCTGATTGGTCTCCTGTCTGCTTCTGTGAGCTCTTGTTATTACACTAGAATGAACTATACTCCAATGAACTCCTCATTCTCCAGGGATCCCTCTCACCTCACAGTCTTCATTCTCAGCATTCTCCCCTCCTTCTTCCCATGTACTTCTCTTTTCAGCAGATTTCACCATAATAAAACAGCCCAGACTGATGAGCTCATTAATACGGGAAGATATATTAACCGCATCGCAGGATTTGCCTCCCTTGCACCATAAAGGGATTCCAGCTGAAGCTTTCTTCTCAGTTGGACCCTAGAATTACAATCTGCATGTGATCGGCAAGCCCTTCCTTCATCTGCTCTACCTCTAGTTGTCGCTGTGCCATCCGC